AGAGAGCAAGCTTAAATTGTGCTTGAAGAACTTCAGACTCTGCTGATTTTAAATATTATTTGAATGCTTTTTGTTCATTTTTAATTATTCCTTCGCCATTTCCATAACAGAGAGTAAGTGCAAATTATGCTTGAGGATCTTCAGACTCTGCTAATTTTAAATACTATTTAAATACTTTTTTTTCATTTTTAATTGTTCCTTTGCTATTTTTATAATAGAGAGCAAGATTGTATTGTGCTTGAGAATATCCAGATTCTGCTGATTTTAAATACTATTTGAATACTTTTTATTCATTTTTAATTGTTCCTTTGTCATTTTCATAATAAAGAGCAAGATTATACTATGCTTGAGAATGTTCAGACTCTACTAATTTTAAATATTATTCGAATACTTTTTGTTTATTTTTAATTGTTCCTTCGCCATTTTTATAACAGAGAGCAAACATAAATTGTACTTTAGGAACTTCAGACTTTGCTGATTTTAAATATTATTTGAATGCTTTTTGTTTATTTTTAATTGTTTCTTTGTCAATTCTATAATAGAGAGCAAGTATAAATTATGCTTAAAGATCTCCAAACTCTGCTGATTTTAAATACTATTTGAATACTTTTTTTCATTTTTAATTATACCTTCATCAATTCCATAATAGAGAGCAAGTGTAAATTATGCTTGAGAATCTCCAGACTCTGCTAATTTTAAATATTATTCAAATACTTTTTTTTCATTTTTAATTATTCCTTTATCATTTTTATAATAGAGAGCAAGATTATATTGTACTTGAGAATATTTAGACTTTGCTGATTTTAAATATCATTCAAATGCTTTTTATTCATTTTTAATTATTCCTTCGTCATTTTCATAATAAAAAGCAAATGTAAATTGTGCTTTAGGAACTCCAGACTCTGCTGATTTTAAATACTATTTGAATACTTTTTATTCATTTTTAATTATTTCTTTGTCATTTTCATAATAGAAAACAAGATTATACTATGCTTAAGAATGTTCAGACTCTGCTGATTTTAAATACTATTTGAATACTTTTTGTTTATTTTTAATTGTTTCTTTGCCATTTTTATAACAGAGAGCAAGATTATACTGTGCTTGAGAAACTTCAGACTCTGCTAATTTTAAAGACCATTCAAATACTTTTTTTTCATTTTTTTTAATTCAAGTCTCATTATAATATAATTCTCTAATTAAATATTGTGCAATACCATCTTCTTGAGATATTATTTGTTGATAATATTCTAAAGCGTGATCATAATCTTTTTCAATATTCAAATTCATATGATAAATGAAGCCTAGAATTGTAGAATATTATATCTTATCTTGTAATATTTATAAAAGAGTTATTTTATCCAAGGGTATTTTTATTTTTTTTCAAAATAATTGTAACAAGTTTTATTAAATTTATATCAAAATTTTCATAATAATTTTTGATGATATTATCAAAGACAATCAGTAAATCATTAATTGTAATTTCTATATCAGTTTTTTGCTAGTCCATGTTTTGATTTTCTGTTATTTATTGTATTATAAATAGAGGATGATGTATTGCTATCAATTTATAATGAATAAAGAGAAATTTTATTTATTTTATTATATATTCCTTTATTTATATTAATGTAACATGAAAAAATTAATGCATATAATATATATATGACTAGTATATGATATACAGTATGTGACAAAAAAACTTAACTATTTGCTGATCATATTAGATAATAAATATCTTCAATTTTAGCTTAATTTATATCATTTTTTACTGAATTAAAGTTAAATAACAGATTTATTTACTATATTTGTTAAATAAATTCTTGCAAAATTCACTATCAAAATATTATTAATTACTCACAAATAAAAGATATATAACTTATTATATTATTAGAATAAAGATATTTGTTCTGTACCTAAACTATCCAAACTGATCTTAATTTTATAGAAAATTTATAGGCCATTATTAAGAGTAATATTAAGAAATAAATATCTAAAAATTTATATATTTTAAAGAAGTTTTTGATAAAAGAATAGGATCCTATTTCAAAAATCTTTTTAAAAAATTTAATAAATTTGATAAAATATTATTATGAGTTAGTTATTGAAAGCAAAAATAAATAAATCAATTTTTAAGTCTAATAAATTTTATTCTATAACTTTTTTACTTTTAAATAATATATTAATTACTAAATTTGATGCAATATTTGTGAATTTATGATGAATTTAGTATAGTTAAGTTTTTTTTATTACATACTATACATATATAATCATCACAAAAAGAAAATGATTAAAGTATAGTCCATAATATGATCAATTCTCTTAACTTTTTAGAGTTTACTTTTAATAATTTTTATAATTTACAAGATCTAAGTAAAGATAATAATTAGAATAGAGAATAATATTATATGTAAAATTACAATTCTAATAATTTCAATTAATATTTCAAGACAGATTTAGATATTGATTTTTGAGTAATATTTATTTTTTATATCTTGTATTAGATCTATTTTGCCAGGTTAATCAAAAAATTTGTGCACTTTATTAGATATAAATTACATGATGGATTATATTTTAAATAATTCTTATAAAAAGTAATATCTAATTTACATATATAATAATATAGATAAATATATATATTATATTTTTCTATTTTTTGTTATTATTGATACTAATTTTTTTTTATTATTTTCTTCTTTTAAATATATACTAGGTAAAATTTTTTAGATATAAATATAATACTTATTATATTAGTAGATTATCTTTAATAAGAATAAAAATAATAATTTTTATAAAGTTATAAATACTAAGTATATTGCAAGAAAAATATGATATAATCTGATTAGAATATAATGATCTCTTGTTAAATACAAAGAAAATAGAAAAAATAAAAATTTATCACTATTTAAGACTATGAGTTTATAACTATCAAGAAAAAAAATACATATATACAAGAAACTAAAAGAGTTATTTCATGATATAAATAATAAAAAATCTATACAAAATCTTATCTGAAGATTCTCTAAGATAATTTGATTTCTTTTTATAATATAATTTATTTATTATAGCTTACTTAATTCTAATTTACTCTATTTAAATTTATTTCATTTTTTTTTAATATGGATCAAGTTTTATTATATTCTTTCAAATTAAAAAAATATGTTATAATCTGATAATAGTGTAATAATTTCTTGTCAAATATAAAAGAAATAGGAAAATAAAAATTTATTACTGTCTAGAAGATCATAAACTTTAAAAATCAAGAAAAATTATATCTATACAAAAAGTAAAAAAAGATATCTTGAGATATTAATAATAAAAAATTCATGCAAAATCTTATTTGAAGATTCTTTAAGATAACTTGATTTCTTTTATAATATAATTTGCTTATTAATTTAAAAGAATATGATATTTTAAAAAAATAAAACTTAATTTATATTAGAAAAAGAAGTTATGAATAAAATTAAATAGAAAAATTAATAAATATTATATTCTTATATGCCAAACTTTATAAAAATATCTTCAAGTTATTAGAGAATAATATTTTAAAGTATAAACTCAAGAATTATCTAAAAGCTCAAGATTATTCTGAAGAAAATTTGATATATTAACTTTTAAAAAGATTATAAACTGAATGTTTTGAGAAATTAAAGTAATATTAGAATTATTTAAAAAGCTAATAATATATTAACAAGTAATAAAAAACTATTTTTATATTCATAAGACAGAAATAAAATAAATTCAAATTTTTATTTTTTAAAATAATTGAATATTACTTTTTATAATAACTATATATAAACTAGATATTATATATATAAAAAATATTATTTAATTTATATTATTATTACTTTTTAAGAATATATTTATAAGTTTTCTCTCTTTTTTGATAATTAATATTATTTTATTTATTCTTTATCACTTTATTAATATTATAATTTCATTAAATTAAAAAAATTAATATTTATCTATATATAGCTTAACAAAATTAAAAAGAGAAAAATTTTAATATATATAAATATCACAAATATTATTCAAATTACAAAAATACTTAGATATAATCCTATAATAGTATTTTTTTTAAACAAATATAAATAAATCAGAAAAGTGAAAACTTATTATATTCAGGAAGATTACCAGTTTTAAACAATTATAAAAAGAATTTACTTATATATAAAGTTAGCAAAAATAATATTATTACTACACAAAATAGTTAATAATTTAGATCTCACTTGTAATTTATTAATTATTATAAATATATTATATAACTTCAAACTTAACTTACATATCATAGCAAAGAAATCTTATATCTTGGAAACACATATATATACTCATATTAAATGATATAAGAAAATAAAAATAAATCAGCTTATTAGTAATTAAAAATAATTTTCTCTAATGAAACCAGTGTGAAAATTAGAAAGCAATTACAGTAGTCAAGAGTTTGATAATATTCTAGAGAAAAGTTTAATATTAATTGTTTGGCATCTATCTTTAAAAGTAAATGAAAATCTGTAATGGTTTGGAAATATTTCACGAAAGAACCATTAATTTTTTGCGATGAATATAAACAAATAGTGAAAAAATAATTATCTTGAAATCTTAAAAATTCAATTACTTTCATTCCAGAATGAAATTAGAGAATTAACTGGAAGTTATACAATCTTTCAATATGACAATATACCAATTTATACTGCAGGAAAAATTAAGGAAAAATAAAATTGAGAATATTTGAAAGATATTAAAGGACAATATTCAAAAAAAATGAAAACTTTCTAATGATTATGGACAAACTTAAGAATGCACTGATGAAGGAGTGGGAAAAACTTGATGTGGCCATTTTAGAATGGGTTACTGCATCAATGCCATGAAGAATTAATGCAGTATTAGAGTCAAATAGAGGGCCGAATAAATATTAAATAAATTTTATTTTTTATTTGATGTATAAATTGATGAAAATCTAAATTTTTATTTTTAATTTTGATACTTTCTGTGGGTACTGTACAAAAATGATCGATCACCACAAAATTTCTCCATCAAATGTTAAAAGTAACAAACTAAACTTTTTACAAATACAACTGGCCATGGTGCGACAAGTAAACTTATTCACGACATCTACCTGTATACGTTTTATAACTTTGAGTAACTTTGTATAAATATTGAGTGAAAAACAAAGGCTTAAATTAAAGATCTACTTTAAACTTTCGTTATAATGTAACTCAAAAAAGCTAATTGCAATGCATCCTCACGTTATTAAGTAAAAATAATATTTATATTTCAAAATAGATAAATTTAAAATTTGAGACGATTTGGTTTCGATTTCATTGAATGAGTAGCTATATCATAAGACAATATCCAATTTTATTAATATTTTGTAGGATACCCTTTACTTTCTATTACAGCAGCAGCTCGTTTGAACATACTATCTAGGGACTAAATATGTTATTGTCTATTTGTAATCATTCTTTTTTGCAATATTTGCCAAAGCTCCTTCTTATTTTTTGCTAAGGGATTGTATGCCCTAATCTTTCTAGAACATCTCATAAATGTTCAATAGGATTTAGATCAGGGCTTTGAGGTGGCCAATAAAGGCTAGTTAAATTATTTCTACTCTTCCATTCATTACTTAATCTTTGATGTGTGAATGGGAGCATTATCCTCTTGAAAAATAAAATTTTCCTTATCTTCAAGAGCATCCAAATACGGTAAAAGTTTATCTTGAAATAGATTTATATAATCTTTAGAATTAACTTTCCCATCCAATCTCATTAATAGCCAAGTCCATTTTGTGGAAGCAACCCCATACCATTATTCCATCTTGTCCTGATTCGTGTGTTGGAATGAGACAATCTACGTTAAACTTTCCATTGATTATTGCCACACCAGTCTTCTGCCATGATTCGTCACTCCATATAATTTTCTCCCATTCATTTTCCCAGTTTTTCTTCTCCTTAGCCCAATCCAATCTTTTTTTTCTGTTTACATAAGTCTTTCTAACACCACATGACAAAAATAGCCAGATTGATGGAGTTCCCTTTTAATAGTTGGAAACAACTATTGAAGTTGAATCAGCAAAACTATTTTTAATTTCTTGAAGATGCAAGTAAAAAGTTAGCAAATTATTTAATGTAACTTGACGTAAATTGAAAATTCTACCTGAAAGTGTCATTTTCCTATCCTTTTTGATAACTCCCAATAATGCGCATTTGTTTCTTCCTGTCATTATTTTCTGTCTTCCCTCTCAAGGAGAAGGTTTGACAATTTCATGATCTTAATGACATTCTGGACAGTTGTATAAGGGTGATCAAGTGTCTGAGAGATTTTTCTAAGACTTGAACCCACTTTCCAAGCGCCAATAATTTGCGCGTGCTGGAAAGTATTTAGTTCCTTTCTTTTAGAAGCCATATTAAACATAGTTACAAGGTAGCACAAAATTTCGTGTTGGATAACTAAACGAAATTATGCATCTCATCAAGTTACTTATATAAAAACTTTTTAACTCGTTTGTTATAAGCAAACACGTATTAATAAAAGTTATTAACAACAAAGAGACGCGTCAAATTGTGAAATTTGACTGGATTCTGGCAAGTATACAACAATATATAGTTGCAAAAACTCAAACTTTAGCAAATTTTATATTTCCGATTATCATTCAATGAAATCGAAATCAAATCGTCTCAAATTTTAAATTTATATATTTTGAATTGTTTTTACTTAATAACGCGAGGACGCATTGCAACTGGCTTTTTTGAGTTACATTATAACAAAAGTTTTAACGTAATTTTCCGAAAATCTTTATCTTTGATGTAAGCCTTTGTTTTTCACTCAATATTTATTCAAAGTTACTCAAAGTCATAAAACGTATGCAGGTATATATCGTGAATAAGTTTACTTATCGTACCATGGCCGTTTGATCGACGAAATTTCGTGGTAATCGGTCATTTCTGTCCGGGCACTGTACATGTATTTTGTTTAAAGCACGTGATTGCAGTTCCCGTATCAATAAATAATAAAGTGGATCTGGCAATTGGAAGTTCTATGGTATGTATATTGTTGAAATCAACAACTATTTAACAAGATTATCTAATTTTATTCTGGTTATACATGTAGCAAATTGTATTTTCGTTGCTCTTTTTTTTGGTAATTTTGGGATGGATAATGGATATACCAATGACATTGCTCTTTGATATGTCTCAAGTAATTTTTTTTAGGAATGGCAATTTTGATGATTTACCTTATTAAGGTTAAAATTCATACTATGATTAATACAGGGTTGGCATTTGGCTATGGCCAAGAATTTTTTTGGCCATTGGAATCAGCCAAGATCGACAGTCAAAATTAGCAGCCAAAATTCTATTGACGGCTGTGCAAACAGTGACACTCAAAGTAGTATAAACGTTACAGACATATGAAATCCAGCACATATATATTAAAAGATTAAAATAAACCGCTCATATAAATAAATGTATTTGATTTTATTTACGTTAAAACCAACAAAGCATTTTTTCCCTTAAAAATAAAGTATATCAACAAAAATTAAAAGAAAATAATGTCGGAACAATAGTTTCTATTGAAGATACATATTTGATTATAGAAGAAAATAATAATCAAGAAATTAATAATAATAATATGATAATAATCAAGAAATTAATAATAATAATACGGATAATATATTAGAAGAAAATAATGAGCATTAATTAATGATTTTAATAATTTAATTAATGAATGGGACCAATTATTAAGACAAGAAGAAGAAGAAGAAGCAGAACATGAAGCTATAATTGATTGAATTTGAAGTTGAAATTAATGATTTTTTTACTAAATCAAACACATCCTGCTTTAGATAATAATGCTAAATGGCAAATAAGTAATATTTTTGTTAATAATTATTTGATCATAAAGATAATTAATAATTTTTTGTTGTATTAATTAATAGTTTTTTGTTATATTAATTAAATATTTTTTGTTTTATTAATTAAATATTAATTAATTATATTAATTAAATTTTGATTGATTATAAATTTGGCCATGGCCAAAACTTTTTCTTGGTCATTTGGCCAGTATTTGGCCAGCCAAATAGCCATGGCCAATTGCCAACCTTGGGTTAATATGTATTATTGTTATCTTTATTTAATCATATACTCATCTAATATTGATTTAATTAAAGGATGGAAAACCTAATTGGTTGAAAGGTGCAATGTTAATTGCCACGTACATGACGATTGCCCTCGCATCTTTTTTTTATACCAACGACAACGCTATTAGTTAATTAGCTGACAATTTGAAGATTATGTCTTATGCAGTTTTGATACCCTTTTATTATGAGTTATTTAATTACAAATTGAATAAATACTGCTTCATTCTTGTTGATTTTTTTTTGAAGTGAAAATGAAAACACCATTAGATCTTCACAATATCAATGACTAATCTGGACACGTCCAATCGTTTTTTATCTTAATCCATCTACCGACAATCCAACATCCTGACAATCTAACTTTCTGACAATCTAACATCCCGGCATACCCAACTTCCCGCCAAACCCAATTTCCATACATAAACCAGAAATTGGCTTAGCTTTTTCGGGAAGTTGGAAGAGTTAGGTTTAAATTTGTTGGATTGTCGGGATGTTAGGTGGCACCCCTTTTTCTTATTGCACTTTTCGCCTGATCTTTCCCTCAGCTAACAACATTGACCCAGTATAACGAATACGAGCGATATTCATTTTAATTGTGCGTATTATCTTCCGGCAGACAGGAGGTCACTTAGACCATGCGTTATTTTGTTTTGTCTCGTTGGTATTTTATCTTCTAGATGTTGCTGAATCGTCGTGGGTTAGAAGTCGGCTTATGTCGAAAAGCTAATTAGCATATTTAAATGGTAACATGCATGTACATGTAGATTAAGAACTTTTGAAAGCGAGTGTATATCTCCGAAAATAAGTGACTCCCACTATTTTAAACATGAAATATATGAAATGATAGATACCAAATACAGGCAACCTTTAAAATTTATTAGTTCAATATAATATCAATTATTCAATAAATACAAAAGCTTTTCATTATTAATTAAAAAAGTCAATCCTTTAGTGTGTATTTTTAAATGCTTTCATACTCTTTCATATTTTCTCAAGTGCTTCACTATAATAGACTTTGAAATGGAAATATTTATATGTAGTATATAAATATATACTCTTTGGCTCACCAAAATTCCAGATTTTTGGTTGCTTATTTTCGGAGATATACAATACAAAAGGATGCTTGTCAAAACTCATGAATTTTGACAGATGATGTAATGCCAAGCCGAAATACTAATCATTAATTGAAAATAATTGTTCATAAAGAACTGAACTTGCTTGAAGTTAACAAGCTGCTTATCAACTATCACCCTTTAAAAGTTGAAACATAAATATCAAAAGCGTCAGAAATCTCGTCGTTCGAGCACCTCCTTTATAAAGGATAAAATATCAAGCGCGATGATGCTACTGAAGCTGCCTATCAACAATTGTTGCATGCCTCTAGTAATTATCCCCAAAAAGAAAAATGATCCATCACATATTATTTTTATTCAATTGGAGATAAATTGATCAACTACATGTATAATATGTATGGATTTTAGCACGTTTATTATAAAACAAGCAACTATCAAACAATTTAAATGAAATTACTTGTTTATGCAATATTGAAGCAATGCATAAATAATATTAAATTTAACTTCTGTTTTAATAATGTTTTATTACAAGATGATGTTATCAATTCTTCCATTTATTATTATCTCTAAGTGGTAGTAATATCATTATGCCAAATATTAGAATCATTATTTTACTTGCTAATTAAATCATAGATACAAATTTTCATAGTTCGTCGTTGAAAATAATATTAAGTCGGCCGAAGATCAACCTAGTTCATATAAAAGCATAGGATTATATAGTTTTCCTGGCATTATACAAGATTTGGTCAGAAATCCAAAAAATTTTATAATTAAGCATGCCCAATATTGGTCAAACGTTATGAAAACTCTATAATGTCATTCCAAATTATGGACATTTATTAATGAAATCTAATAAAATTATTTTATTTGTCAAAGGAAAATTTTCTTTTTGATAACAATCACGTTATTGCGTTTACGTTAGGGTTAAACCAAAAATTATATGTAAAATTGCCTTCTCGACATTTTTTATTAGTGAACAAAGAATTTTAGGAATTTTTTCTATATTTTTTGCTTTTCATTTCTTGTGCCTGTTGGACTTTCAATAAATTACCAAATATAAATATTAATTTGTGGAGTGGACACTAACACTCCATTTAACTAATATAGACAATGATAAATGCACCGCATTCTAATTCGGTGCTTTGAATAAGGAAAAATAATACGTATCCTATAAAAAAAGCCACATAAAGGAGCAATAAATTCTCAATATAGTGTTATGTTCATCATATCTCTTTTTGCATAATTTCTAAATTATCAAGGACTAATAACGAAATTAATATTAAAATTCAAATTATTTCGGTAAATGCATCTTTTTAAATTATTCTTTTATAGCTCTCATATTTATTCACTTCAGTCATCTTTTTTTATGTAATTCACCATAGTAATTCACTACAAAAATATCTAAAAGGAGAACTTCATATAATCCTCCTCAAGAAAGAATGAGATCAGTAGTAGGTCTTATGGTAAAAACACGTTCTTATTGTCAGGGTTATAAACTCGTAAAGTACTATATAAAATTAATTTAATCTTATATTACATTCAGCTCTCTGTCTACATGTATATAGTATATTTGTATTAACTTATATTTAATAAATTTATTTTCTATAAAGATAAACTTTTAATAAAAATCTAAATGACTTGAAACTTTTATACATTGCTCAGATCTCAAATGTGTATTAACTCACAAGAAAATTTTGATTTTGTTAATATGCAGTACAATATATATGTACATGGATATGTACTAAGCAACTTACTACATGTGTATAAATAAAGAATAACAGATCAGTTATAATTTAGGAACGTCAAGTCTAGGTGTCAATATTTAATGAATAACATTAAGTCTCAAACAATTTATCAATGCTCCACAAGAGTAATAAATATTGAGAAGAACAAAATTATTTGCAGAAACAGCTCAAATCATTTTAATAATTGACAACACTTAAATATTATTATGTATCCAATAATGATTGAATTCTAAACTGTAATTAAAGAACAGTATAAATTTCAACTTGTAAATAATTCATTAAATAAATTCTTTATAAAAAAGTCAAACCAAACTTTTCACAAATTCTAATCTCTAATAAAAATATGGAATATTACAATACAGACTTTATATATATATACATAAACAATACAGATTTAATTGGTGTCAAATTCTTTCTTTTCTATAAATAAATGCTTTATTAAGTTATTAAGAAGATAAAATTCACAAGATAAATATCTTCAAAATATATTTCACACATTAAAAAAATTTATTTCCAATACAATAATCAATTCCTTGTATTATTTATTATCATTCTCTTTTTATTCATGATAGAACAGCATCTATTTGAGATATTTTGATGAATAAGAATATAATATTGCAGATAAAATAGATTTAAGTAGTTAATATATCAATATAAGCTTCACCTTATATAATATATGTAATTTAGTTAAATATATAATATATACTTATTTGACAATTTTTATTGAAAATTTTTTATTTATATTATATTTATTAGATTATATAAAACCAAAAAATTGGCAATAATTTTAGTTAAGTGATTATATAAGAGAAGATATATACATTATTTCTCTTTAATATTAGTAAAATTTCAAATAAAAATATATTAAATTAAACATTCTCATAATATATTATCAGAAATTTAATATTAATTATTCAATAAATCAAAGTTTTTATTATTAAATAAAAAATTATTATATTTATTAAATATATAATAAATTAAAGAAAAAATAAAATGATAAATATATAATTATATTGATCTAATTTAAGAATCTACAAATTAATATGATATACTTTTATCATTAATTTTAATAACTTTATTTATATATCTAGATAAACTCAAAATTAATCTATATAAAGTTTTCAAATTAATACTTATCTATTTCTCTTGTAATATATAAATTAATACTTGTTTTAATATAGATAATGATCTTCTTTTTTGAATCTGATAGTTCAAAATATTTTATAAATATTCAATTAGATTGAGATTAGAACTTTGATCAATCCAATTCAAAAGTTGAATACTATATATTGATATCTATCAAGTTATATATATATATCAAGATATATCATGATATCATCTTGTTAAAATATAACATATAGATATTGATAAGTTCAGAGTATAAAATAATTAGTAAAAATATTAATATAAATATCTGAATTTATAATTTCTTTCATTAGTAACAAAGAATCAATTTCATT